ATAATGATTTGATATGTATGTATGTATTTTGTATCTCAATAAAAAAAACCATTTTAAAAGTTAAAATAGTTATGTTGGCAATGAGCAGAATATATTTTGCTCACATCAAAAAAAGCAGCATTTGCGGTGGAGGGGTAGAGCTTTGAAGCTGGATTTCAGGACTACATGATAGCCTTAAACCCTGGTAGTTGTTATTTTTAAATACAACAGGTTATGTTGTGGGTGTGTATGTGCAACACTGCCTTTCCTCTGTTGTCTTTGCTGAAGTAGTTACGGTAATTTAAACAAGGGCTCATAATGATTGCTTTGCCTCAGGACACAGTGGAGGAACAGATAAAAATGCCTCTGAACATGTGCAAAGTGCTGATGAATCCCCACGAATGACCAGCAACTCCTATCCAAAGGAGTGATCTTGAAGGCAAGTTAGAGTTCCAGAATCTGTTGCTTTAAAGAAGAAACATGGAGTCCAGCAACTGCCTCACACAATGCCATAGTAAAGATGTCTCAGTGGGGTTGCAGACTGCCAGAAATAGTGCAAATTGAGTCCACTTTTAGGGTTAGTGCTAGGGAATCATGGGAACTGGGGTTTTTTTTTCTGAGCCATTGAGCCTTCTCTGTCAGAGAGCTCTGGTGCCACAATAAAATACAGTTCCCATGATTCCCTAACCCTAACCCTAACCCTAAAAGTGGACTCAATTTGCACTATTTCTGGCAGTCTGCAACCCCTGTCAGTTTCATTGAGTCCACAGTCAATATCAAATGAACCATGACTAACCAAGAATACATTTTTCCATACACAGATTAGAGGGGGAAACTCATTTATTTAGCAGGGAGGATGCACCTAAAAATCATTTTCTCTCAGGTAATTTATTAGATTAGGTGGTAGGGATGTTGCAAGAAGAGCCCAGCTAAGCATATTTATAGAGAGAAGGTGTTCAGGCACACATCAGATCAGAAAACAAATCTAGGGTCATTTGAGAGAGAGAGATTTATATTCGGCTTTTTGTCACTGCAACAGCCTTTTTTGCAGTTTTACTGACATGTGTCCCTTTTGTGTGACTCTTAATACCACTGCTATGGTGGCTGGTGGCTTTTCCTTCAATGTAAACTGGTATTCTATATTTTTATGAGAGATAAACACAACCACAAACATGTTTTATGTGTGTATTTAAATCAAACATATACAAATAACAGCAATACTACAACTAAACTAAACCGCTAACAAAAAATCCCGCTACTGACTCCCCCCCCCAAACGATGCATATATTCCACTATTTACTATATTTCCTTCATATGATAATACATTTGTGCTTCTACCATATACAAACTCTATTTACAAAACCTAAATGATTTGTATCTCTTCCATAACTGCAAATAAGTATGGCAATAAGAAATTCCCAGTCTTTCTTAAAATTGTTCAGTGATATCTCTTTGATCAACATTGTCAATATATCCATTTCATATTCTCTGTGTTGGAATAGCAGAGTCTTATCTTTGAGTATATATTAAACTTGCTGCTGTAATCATATATTGTAAAATCCTTCCAAATTTCTTCTCAATTTGATCATCCTGAATTCCAAGCAAAGAAAAATCTCTGGTTCCAGCTGTATCTTAACTTTGAAAATATCTTTCATTATTGAATGTATTTAAGTCCAGTACATTTCTGTGCTTTATCACAGGTCTATCACATACGGAACAACGTCTTATTTGACATTTCCAACAATTATTTGAACCGTTCTTATACATTTTCAATAACCTGCCTGGTGTTAAATGCTATCATTGTGAACTGCTATTCTGACAGCTTCTCTCAGGCGATTTCTTTGTGGCTGTGAAATGAATGAAATCAATTTCCCTCCCAAAATTATCTCCTCAGAAAATTCTCCTCAAAACCTGAAAGGGGCAGAGCATTTTATTTTATTTTTAGGATTTGAGATCTAATTAGTTTTCCAGCATCCGTACTGCAGAAATAATCCAGTTTGACACGACTTTAACTGCCATGGCTCAATGGTATGGAATTCTGGGAACTGGAGTTTGTTGTGGCACCAGAGCTCTCTGACAGAGAAGGCTAAATGTCTCACAAAACTGCGGTTCCCAGAATTCCATAGCACCTGAACCATGGCAGTTAAAATGGTGTCAAACTGGATTATTTCTGCAGTGCAGTTGCCGCTTCAGAGAAGCAAAAATCTGTTTTGTCATCCTGACATGGGCAAAAAATAGTTAGGAGAGTTAGTTGCAGCTCAGTAAGGGCCTGAACAGAGTGCCAGAAATAATTCAGCTTGAGACAAAGTCCTGGTTCAATGCTAGAGAATCATGGGAACTGTAGTTTTTTTCTGAGGCACTGAGCCTTCTCTGTCAGAGAGTTCTGGGGCCACAATAAACTACAATTCCCATGATTCTCTAGCACTGAACCAGGGCAGTTAAAGTGGTCTCAAGATGGATTATTTCTGGCAGTTTGTTCAGGCCCTAAATCTGTTCCAGGCCTTTATCCAAACCTTAAAGGACACAAAATTGGTTTAGCACCTTGTTGGGTTTCTTCAAATTTCAGACCAATAATAATAATAATAATAAATTTTATTTATAGCCCGCCTCTCTGCACGGCAATCGAGGCGGGTTACAGCATGTTAAAACAAACAAAGTTAAAACATTCCCTCAATCCATAATCCAACCCTCCCCCCCTTAAAACCGAATTAAACTTGAAAGGAAATTAAAAGCAACAATAAACCACTCAAACAATAAAACCCAGAGCAGATTCACTACTGCCCCAGCGGCATTGGGAACCACCAGCCACCAACACCAAGGGATAGAAAACCAATTTTTTGTCTTTCTGAGAGAGAGACCTGATGAAAAACAAATTAAGAATGACAAATTCTCTAACACACCCTGAGGAGAATTTTCTGAAGAGAGACTTTTGAGTGAAAAAGGGCTGATTCCTGTCCTTTCATATCCTCCAGGTCTCCATGTTCTGAGGTGAAACCTCTGAGGAGAAAAGTTTGAGAAGGAAACCAATTTGAATCTCTTCACAATAATCCAAAACACACTGCAGAAATAATCCAGTTTGAGACTGCTTTAACTGCCCTGGCTCAATGTTAGGGAATTCTGGGAAGAGTAGTTTTGTGAGACATTTAGCCTTCTCTGTCAGAGAGCTCTGGTGCCACAACAAACTCCAGTTCCCAGAATTCCATACCGTTGAGCCACGGCAGTTAAAGTTGTGTCAAACTGGATTATTTCTGCAGTACGGATGCAGCCTGAGAGAACTGCTGGAAAACTAATTAGAAATCTCAGATCCTAAAAATAAAATAAAATGCTCTGGTGCCACAACAAACTACAATTCCCAAGATTCCCTAGCACTGAGCCAGGGCAGTTAAAGCGGTCTCAAACTGGATTATTTCTGCAGTGTGCTTTGGACCAATCTCAAAGAAAATAATCTAATGGATGCTATGAGGAAGCCACCCATTTGTACTATCCAAGGTGCTGAACTGTATCCACAAATATATTATTATTATTATTATTATTATTATTATTATTATTATTATTATTATTATTAAATATAGACTTTAAAAACCCACACAATTTTGTGGATATGCTACACACTCTGGTGTCCTTGTTCTGGAGAGAATTTTGAGTGCAAAAACGATATTGCTCCCTTCATATTTGCCTGGCTTGCAAACCTAAAAGTGTATTTTGAGAGGGAAAATGGCCTCTATCCTTTCATATCCATTAATGCTGAGGTTTTAATCTTGCAGCCTCTGACTCCTGTTTTATTGTATTGTACGTTTTTAACTAATTTTAATTTAATTAATGTGGCACTTTTTAATTTCATTGTGGTTTAATTCTATTTTAAGGGATGGGAAGGTGGGATTATGGGGTTAGGGAATGATTTTTAACTCTGTTTGTTTTTAAACTGTTGTACCCCGCCCCGATTGCCATGCAGAGGGGCGGGTTATAAATAAAAATTATTATTATTATTATTATTATTATTATTATTATTATTATTATTATTATTCTCAGATAAAAAGGGACAGTTTTGTGGATTTGCTGCACATTTTGCTAGCATTAATCAATTAATATGCATATTCCACTCTATTATCTGAGCATCTCAGGCTGGTGTACAATAAAATCAGTTTAAGGACAATAAATAACAACAATAATGTTAAAAAAACAAAATATGTATTATATCACTTATCATTTAAATTGAAAAAAATGGTTTAAGACAATTCAAAATAAGGCTAACTATCGCACAAGTGAAAATTGGATAGAATCAATTAGGCCTCAAAGATATTAATTAAAAGCCATGTTTTGTCTTGATGCCAGAATGACACCAGCATTGACGCCAATTTATTCCATAATTTTCACCAAATGTCTCCCTTCCACTGTCTTTCTGTATAAAAAGGGATGGTAAATAAGATGCCTCAAGACAGTTTTTTTGGTGACTACATTAACTTAGTGGCCAAGTTGTAAAACTCAAATCCCCTCAAATCCTGAGATTTGTAGTTTTGCAAGGCATGAGCACTCTTTGGCAGAGAAGGTTAAAGACCATGGAACTAGAGAACTTCAAGTGGTGTTAAACTTTTTTATTTATTATTAAACATTATTTCTACCCTAAATCAACTGGAAAAGCTTTCGAATGACAAGAAAAGTACTCTTCAGTTTGGAAAAAGTTTGGGATTTGGGGGACTACAACTCCCAGAATCCCAAAGCTGCTATCTTCCTCCTCCTCTTCTTCTTCATTTATAGAGTCAATGTGGTGTAGTGGTTTGAGTGTTGGACTATGACTCTGGAGACCAGGGTTCGCTTCCCAGCTCAGCCACAGAAACCCACTGGAAACCCACTTGCTGGGTGACCTTGGGCAAGTCACACTGTCTCAGCCTCAGGGGAAGGCAATGGCAAACCTCCTCTGAACAAATCTTGCCACGAAAACAGCAAGATAGGTTCACCTTAGGGTCACTATAAGTTGGAAACGATTTGAAGGCAACAATGACAACAACCTTTCCCCAAAACCAGGACTCAGGGAGGCCTGAATGAGGGAGTATGGGAGATTTACTCCCAAAAAATCAATTTTCCAAGCTTTGTTGTTCCCTATGGTAGCCCATGGTTAAGGAGGGCCTCAATAATGCCCACTTGCTTGTTTTTCTTGCTCCCCATAAACACAATCCTCTCCGCCATGCTGCGTACAAGGCTAGGACAGCCAGAGTCAGTGACTAGTAGGGACCTGGGATAGAAGCTGCATCCGTACTGCAGAAATAATCCAGTTTGACACCACTTTAACTGTCATGGCTCAATGCTATGGAATTCTGGGGACTGCAGTTTTGTGAAACATTTAGCCTTCTGTCAGATGGCTCTGGTGCCACAACAAACTACAATTCCCAGAATTCCATAGCATTGAGCCATGACAATTAAAGCGTATTATTTCTGCAATGCGGCTACAGCCAGAGTCTTCTTAGTGTCTGCTCCTGGGTCTGGAGTTTCCTTCCTACGGAGACTAGAAAGGTGTCATCCTTGCGGTCCTTTCCTCAGCAAGTTTCTACTCTGACAGAATTTAAAGATAAGATCATTTGTAAAGAAAAGGCTCTTAATAGGGTTGTCTTGTTGTGTACCTTCAAGTCATTTCCAATTCATGGCAACTCTGAGGCCATCGTAGGGTTTTCTGGGGCTGAGAGTGTGTGATTCGCCCAATGGGTTTCCATGGCCAAGCAGGGAATTGAACCCTGATCTCCAGAGCTGTAGTCCAATGCTCAAACCACACTATACCATTCTGGCTCTTTTCTTAATAAGGTTCTGTATTGTCCTCAACTGTTATTTTTTTTTCTTTTTATTGATTGTTTTGGACTACTTCTAACACTATTGATTGGTAAATCAATTGCTTTCATGCTATAGATTGGTGACTGGACTGTTTTTAATGCTATTGATTGGTAAATTATGCTGTAGCCATATTTTGGATGCTTTTATCTACGGTGTATTTGTTTTCAATTTTAAGCTGCCTGAAATCCTAGTTTTGGGGACAATTTGGGATAGGGATAAAGTGGCTGAAGATTATGATGATGCTCCTACAAGGAAGAGCTACTGATTCCCTAATTCACTCACTTGTAGTCTTCCAACAAGGGTCATTGCAGGAGGGAAAGGGGATACAAGACAGCATCACAGAGGTAGCCAAACTTCCCAAAAGGGTTGTCCACTGACACACAGGCCAAGATGGTGGCTAGGGTTCAAGGAGTCTTCACCATTGGGCCCCCTGAATGTAGCCACTGAACCTATGGCATTCCTGCATGGCTCAATTAACTGGAAAAAACAAAGTTATATCTGTACCTTTGAATGCAAGTATTTCTATCATTTCTCAATGCTGTTTTTATATTTGTAAAGAGCTCTGATGGCATTGCCAACTGGGCACAGTAAAGATATTTTAAGCAAACAAACTGCAGATGGCAAGAGACATCTTAAAGGAAGCATTAATTCTGTCTTTTCTCAGATGTTTGAGGGACTGTCTCTTCCCAGATGGGGCTTGCTGAGAGCATTACCTAAAAACAAAGAACATATATTTCTTGCCTCAGAACTATTGTTTCCTAACTAGTTAACTAACTCATCAGTTAACTAACCAATCAACCAAATAAGATTTCTCTAAATCAGGTGATGACCCTTAATTTAAAAAAAAAAAAAAGAAAGGCTAGTCAATATTTTTTCTTATTTTGTAGAACCATATTGTATAGAAAACATATCCAGGGTAGCCAAGTTGGCCATACAGCAAAGTACAATTACATCCAAAATCCATGAAACAGTGATGCATTTATGGGACCAACTGAAATGCACAAAATATACGATGCAAGCTTTTGAAGCTCCACTAGCTACTTCATCAGGCAAAAGTGTTAAAAATCATAGAGAAAGAAAAATGTGACAATGTTAAAGTCACAGGCCTACATTTTGTCAAGATATTGTTATTCTCAGTTAAGAAGACTTCATAGACTAGGGTTTCTGAGTTAAGGTTCCCTGGAACCCTAGAGGTTCTTTAAGAGATTGTGACTGGGGAAAACAACATTTATTTGAGCTGTACATATAGTGATTTTTATGGAGTAGTTTCCCTAAGACCTGAACATTATTTCAAGGATTTGTCCAGGGTAAAAAGAATGAGTGAGACTGCTTGATACTACTCTGCCTCCCTCTCCAAAAAGGAGTTAATAATCTTATCCTGAAGACTTCCAAGAATAGTAATACTGTCTAAAAATTCAATTCCATCTCCCACTTCTCTATTTTTCTACAGTCTGATTCCAATGCCATAAATGGCAAATGTATATTAAATGGTGTTATGCATCTTCAAGTCATTTCCAACTTATATAGCAACCCTATCACAGTGATTTCCAGGGCTGAGAGTATGTGACTCACCCAAGGTCACCCAGTGGTTTCCAATGGCCAAGCAGGGAAATGAACCTTGGTTTTCAGAGTTGTAGCCCAATGCACAAACCATTAGACTATGCTGGCTCATATTAATTAGTAATAGCTAATTGGCTATACTAATTTGTAATAGCCAATTTACTCTAGCAAAATGGTAGCACAAGGCATTTCATTACCATTACCTCAGGCTACTCAAATTGACAGAATATTTATTTGATTAAAATTTCTGAATAAGAAATCTTTCCTAAACTCCTGGGAAAGTAAAATCCAGAAGAATGTTGACAAGCTGAAGCGTGTCCAAAAAAGAGCAACCAAAATGGTGAAAGGTCTGGAAGCCATCCCTTATGAGGAGTGGCTTAGGCAGCTGGGTATGTTTAGCCTGGAAAAGAGAAGGTTAAGAGGGCATAATGTTCAAATATTTAAATATCATGTTGAGGGTGGAGAAAGCTTGTTTTTTGCTGCTCCAGAGACTAGGACATGGAGCAATGGACAAGGACAAGGCATCTACGTCTTGGAGGTTTTGAAACAGAGGCTGGAAGACCATCTCTTGGGAGTGTGTTGGCTGTATATTCCTACATGGCAGAGGGTTGCACTTGATGGCCCTAGTGGTCTCTTCCAACTCTATGATTCTATGAAATATGCAACAAACTAGGTATCTAATATTTTATGAGTTGAAGGGGTGGGGGGAGGTTAAGTCAAAGTTGGTACATTATCCCACTCAAAATTGCTTCCATCGTCACAACTCCAGCTCCAATGCTACAGTCCTGCTACAGCAGGGGTTGGCAACCTACGCCCCATGGGCCGGATCTGGCCCGCCGAGGCCTGCCAACCGGCCCCTGCCCAGTTCTGCCGCCGCCGCCGCCGCTGCACCGCACGCAATCGCGGACGCCATTTTGGCATCCAAAATGCCACCCGCAATCATGCGTGCATGCACATGGTGGCAGGTTCCATTTTGGAAGGCCCAAGGGCACCAGCGATGTGTGAATTTGCACAGCGCTGGTGCTGTTGGGCTTTCCAAAATGGTGCCCCCAAACATGCATGCATGTGACGACGGTGGGCATCGCATGCAAACGTGCACGCACACTGGCCCCGGCACCACCATTTCTCCCCCCCCCCGGCCCCCAGCAAAAAAAAGTTGCCAACCCCCCTGCTAGAGTTTCCCCAATACTATTTTTGTTAAAAGAAGTAAATTTTCCCAATACTTTTTGAAGTTTTGTAGCGATTTGGGCTAGGTGGGTTTTTGGCAGCAGATGTAGCCCCTGGGTGACACCCCCCCTGGCAAAAATTAGTCCTCAAACCTGCCCCAGTTGCCCACTCCAAGACTATACTGACAATTGAGGGCCAGGGTGCTTTTTAATCCCATCTTTAATCCCAAAAAGAATGTGATAGCAATAATTAATCCGTGGTCAGTGATAAGCCCTCTGACAGCTTACTGTTTCTGCACCACGGATGAGATAAGAGCCTCATCAAACAGGTTACAAAGCTGGTGACCCTAATTTGACTTATAAGAAAAGGCACATTTGCAATCTGGCTCATTCACACGTGCCTACAGCCAGTGCTTCTGGTTAGCAGCGTCAAATGACAACTTTGCCTTGTGACTCGGCCATCACCGCAGATCCATCACCTGGTGTCAACTCAGAGCACACTATTCCCACAGGCCCATGCATTTGACTGAGTCACCAAGTGGAACGATTGTGCAACTCATCCTTTAGGATGGGCTATGAATGGCCCTCCAAGTCTGATTTTATGGCCCTCAACCCTCCCAGAGTGCCCTTCTTCTAGCCAAAACAAGAAGGCAAATTCCCTCTCCTCAAAGCTTCTGGGGGTAACAATTCACTTTTTAAATAGGTTGCTAACATTACAAACTAACCAACAAACCCAAACAAACCTAGTCTTCTAAAATAGAAATGGGTTCCTGACCACTTCCACCATCAACCCCCATTTTTGCATTTGGGGCAGTCTAGGCTGCTTCAGAGCCTCGCAGAAAATTAACCCCAAGATCCATTGTCGTTGTCGTTGTGTGCCTTCAAGTCATTTCCAACTTATGCCAACCCTAAGGTGTTTGCCTATCAAAGGGTTTTCTTGGCAAGTTTCTTCAGAAGGGGTTTGCCACGACCATCCTCTGAGGCTGAGAGAAGGTGACTTGTCCAAGGTCACCCAGTGGGTTTCCATGGCCAAGTCAGGATTCAAACCCTGGTCTCCCAGTGTCCTAGTCCAACACTCAAACCACTACACCACGCTGGTTCTCTAAAGACCCATAGCAGGATCTTTAGGAAGAAAAGGTAATATTGTAGGGAAGACTCAGTCACAGCTTCAAAGATGTACCATTGTCATTAAGGAAAATTAGGTAAAGTCAGAGATAAAAGATGTTTAGGTATAGGAAAGAAGAGGTACACAAGCTAGTGTGAAAAGCTTCTGAACCCCCAAATTTGGACACTCAAAATAAGGACCACTTCACACCTCTCTTCTCTGTGGGAGTGTATACATAGCTATTCAACACTGTGAGAATCTGAACTGAACAAATTGTGCACCAAAACAGCTATTCACTATTTCTACCAAAAGTCCATTAACTACCATAGTTAACTAGCAGGGAAACCTGAATTGTTCCATTCATACTCACATTTCCTCAAATGGTTTTGTATTCATATACACAAATAATGGGGAGAACTCTGTGTATGTGTGTGTGTGTGTATGTGCATGTGGTGTGCCTTCATGGTATTTCTGACTTATGGTAACCCCAAGACAAACCTATCAAAAGGTTTTCTTGGCAGGTTTCTTCAGAGAGGGTTTGAAATTGCCATCCTCTGAAGCTGAGAGAGTGTATCTTCCCCAAGATCACCCAGTAGGTTTCATGTCCAAGCAGGGATTTGAACCCTGTTCTCTAATAATAATAATAATAATAATAATAATAATAATAATAATAATAATAATAATAATTATTATTATTATTATTATTATTATTATTATTATAATGGAGTCCCAGCCCAACACTCAGATCACTACACCACACTGGGGAGAACATTACGAACATTAAATAAGGTAGAAAGATGCAACTTGCCCCTAAATTATCTTAAGGTGAAACAGCTTTGTCTTGAAGAGCTCTTATCATCAATCACAGGAGTACGTCTAGATTCACAGAATCCTACTGTTATGGGTCCAAATATAAAATGGCTCTCCCTTCCCCAACCTGGTGCCCTCCAGATGTGCCCCAGACTAAAATTCTCATCGTCCACTCTGTTACTGCCTAGAATAAGAGGTATTATTTCATGCCAAAAAATGATGAAAAACCAAATTTCCTTCTTGTTTTTTTTTTTAAAGACCCTTCATAGGAGTTGATCACATGGAAGGGATCCTATGCAAAAAAGGGATTTAAACTG